AAAGTTAGAAAAAATTAGAAAATACGGTAAAATTTAACTTTTATAGTGCATACGTAATGATTATCATGAGATCGGAAGGTACGTAGATAGTCCGGAAGGATCATCCGGAAGGATCATCAATCACATGATCTCAGAATTTTTTCACCATAACTAATCTACTATATACCATATAGTTGCGAAATAACGCACAGGGGCGTTATTTCGAATTTTGACCTGAATTAAGCTTAATTTAGGCTGAAATTCGAAATTACACCCTGCGCGTTATTTCGCGACTATACGGTAAATCCGACTTGTTTTTTCAAGAAAACCAGTTATGCAATTAGAATTTTATATATATCTATATGTGCAGTCGCATGCAGGTGCCCGTGCCTGGAAAATTTAGTGATGCCTGTTCTCACCTGTTATCAAAGATAAATAAAATATGCTACTCAATGTTAATTCACCAACAATAATAATAAATTAGTATTAATTTTCTACGAATTAGCAATAAATTATACAAGTTGACCTGAAATCCGTAGAAACCATGCACAAGATCCAAAATTTTGGCATTATGAACAAGATTATGTGCTGATTGCATGATATGCAACATATAAACGTGGTACTGGTATCTATTACAGCATTAAACAACAATATAGTAACCAATTTGAATAAAAAAAAAAAAAGAATTTTATTCACTGAAAAATTTTTTAGTGTGAAATTAGTATGCCCCAATGAATAAAAACTGCTTTGCCCCAAAAAAAATTTTTTTATAATATGATCTGCCCCATTCTAGCTAGTGAACTCTTGTTATAGTAAAGAATCGACACAATCAAAATTCTAACTCGAATACAGTATTTGCCAATTGGACTAAGTAGACATATTTTCAATCAAAATTGAACATGTCCAATTGTGCTGATTGCATAGATATGCAATACATAAACATGATACTAGTATTTATTACAGCATTAAACAATTAAACAATATAACCAATTTGAAAAAAAAAAATAATAATTTATTTACTGGAAAATTTTTTAATGTGAAATTAGTATGCCCTGAATAAAAACTGCTCTGTCCATGTTCTATTCTAGTTACAGTAAACTAAATCGAATACAATATTTGCTAATTGAACTAAATAAACTTATTTTCAATCAGAATTGGACATGTCCAATTTTATGGATCCAATAAGTCCAATTGACAATACTGATTTCAACTAATAAAAGCGCATATAGAATTCTCTCGACGTAAAATTGCTGTAACAAAAGTCACTTGTATAATACTATAGCTGCATAATATTATACTAGTGCATGATAAATGTAAAATATAGCTTGATGGAAAAATTTTGGCATATCTAATTTCTTTATACTCACATGTTCTCTGGCCCAAAGAATCTTGCATCAAACTCTAATAAATAATAAATAATTTGTTTTTAATAAATATATATTTAAAAATAATATATAATGCATTGAAATTTTGTATTAAGCTCTTACCATTACATACCAATATAAGGTTTGGAATAATTCGCCCTTAAAGATGTATAATGACCAATCGCTTGATGACATTAATGGTGAATATAACATGTCGTTCGAGTATGAAGGAATTTTTAATGTTGATGATGAAAACATTGTTAATAATGAAAACATTGTTAATAATGAAAATATTATTTATGAAAATGATAATAGTAATGAAAATGATAATTATGATGAATATGACAGCTATACTGAAGAGGATAAGAATTAGAGTTCCTCAAAGTCGAATTGAATTGAATATTTACATATTTGAATTTGATCGAATCGAATAAGCTCTTGATTTGAATTTGATTTGATCAAATCAAATTCAAATCAAATCAAATATATTTGTAATTTTTATTAAGTATTTTCAAATCGAATTGAATATTTTGTCAATTTGAATTTGATTTGATTTGAAATTTCTGTATTAGAATTTGATTTGAGTTAAATATTTGATCAAATCAAATCAAATCAAATCAAATTGCAGAACCCTAATGAGAATAGAGCAGAGCCTTCATCCATTATATCTTATTTTACTCCCCATAAAGTCTCTACAAAAAAAAATTTAAATTCAAATATAGTGCAAAAAAAAAAATAAACCCGCGAGCAGCTGGGTATGGAAATATACTCACCATGATAAATCAACAAAGATCAAATATTGTGATGTTCGTATATATGACGATGATGGCACTTCTAAAAAATGTACAACAGTGTTTATGCTCAAAACATCAACAACTAATATAGCTGCGCATTTGCGCACTGAATATAAGATTTTTAAAACCCAAAAATGGGATGCACAACAACCCCTACCGTTAGCTACAACCACCATGCCAACCTCTCAACAAACAATTAAAACAGTAATACAAAAGCACATAGAGAGCGCCTTGCCTCTGAAAAACAACAAAATCATATTACTTACCAACTTATCGTTTGGATAGTTGAGGAAATAATGCCATTGAATTGTATTAACCATGATCGGTTTCGAGACTTTTGTTATGAAATTAATCGACAATTTGAAGTTCCCTGTACTAATACAATTAAAATTATAATTAAAGAATCAGTACTTTATACACACGCAACATTAAAAGAAATGATGTCTCAAACAATGGTTTCTGTTTGCATTACTACTGATTTGTGAACTCAAAACTATGTTCTATATATCGGCATAACAGCCCACTGGCTTTCTGAAGATTTTACAATATACCAATTCTTAATCACAATTAAGCATTTCACTTATCCACATACAGGAGATCGGGTTGAAGATTTTTTGTGCAAAGCTCTTGCCGAATGGAATAGGTTTGATAAACTTAAAGTGGTAACAACTGATAATACAGCATCAATAGTTAAAGCAATTAGGCAATTAGATACCACCCACCTTGGCTATATAGCCCATACCATTCATCTTTCAGTCACAGACAGTTTAAAAAAATGTGAAGCCTTGATTATACGTGCAAAAACATTAAATAATTTTTTAGTAAACCATGACAAATATCGGCCATTGTTTTAAAAAATCCAGAAAAAGATAATTGAAAAAAAAAAAAAAAAAATCAAGATACTACTAATATGCGAATTTTAAAGCCTATATCAAGTGACACTGCCACTAGGTGGAACTCTACTTATCTTGTTCTCCAGCGGCTTTTAGACCTTCGAGAATCAGTTTTAGAATTGGCTAAAAGTTTGGTAAATAATCCTGACCGTACTTTTCGTGTCGATAGTAATAATCTAAATGAAAAAATGCTTACTAATGAAGAATGGACAGGTAGTAATTCAAAATTATAACAATAACAAAGTATGGCAAATATTGCCATAACTATAGATGGCGGTAAAATTACCTAAAAATATTAAAAATGTAGAAATTATTGTTGAAATTAAAAAGATTGAAAATGAATTTCATTGCTAATTAAAAAATTTTATTGTTTTTTTTTTCTCATACGTAGGCCTGAAAGAGTTATGCCAACTTTTATGCCTATTTTCAAGAGCATTAACATTTATAGGAGGCGATCAATACCCAACATTGAGTATGATGTATCCAACAATACGATATCTTTTCAAAAATTTAAATCAAATAGAGGACAAACTTACAAATATTGATGTTATTGAAACACACGAAAGTTTTCGCAAATCAATGGCATCTCGATGGAGTGATCCAGAAATAGTTGGGTGGCTTGCTTCATTTCTAGATTCCCGCTTCAAGACATTATCAGCCGCCTCATCTACAACACAGCAAGAAGTGCTCTGAGAGTTACGTGAAAAAATTAAACTTTCTAATTGTACAAATAACTTACCAACTACCAATAAAGCTTCAAATACTGAAATGTCTTCTTTTTTTGATGATAGAATCGAACCTTCACCTTCTTCTCCGATTGACACTGAACTTCAAATTTATCTTTCCATTTCACAAATCCTTAAATATGATCTCAAGGACCCACGTTATGAGAAGTGTAATCCCTTAAGCTGGTGAAATGAGCACAAAAGTGCTTTACCTCTCCTCGCAGAACAAGCCCGAATTTTTCTTGGCATTCCCGCGACTTCAGTACCTTCTGAGCGACTCTTTTCCGATGCAGGTAATATTATAACACAAAAATGTAATCGTCTAAACACAGATACGGTTCATGATCTATTATTTTTAAAAGAAAACTTAAGAATAATTAATGTCTATCCTGGCTTATAAATCATAAAATTTAACTAGATTTAGTATTAAAAATTAGATTTTCTTTTTATTTATTCGTATGAGATCGCTTAATCCAACTATGAATTTTTTGAATCTAAGTTTTTTTTTTTGTTTTAAAATTTGAAATATAAATTATATACTATACTTATAAATAAAATTAGATTTGCTCAGTAATCAGAATAAGTTGTTGAAAAAGTATTGAATTTTTTTCCAGGAACGTGAAGTATATTTAATGAGTGAGCGATTAACCAATCATATCTATTTAAAGTCACGTGAAATTAATTAACCAATTAAGATGATCGACTCTAACTTAATCAGCTAAACTGATTTTTAAATATCGACTTGGTCAAGTCGATAAATTAGGGTCAACTACAAACACTACTGAAAACCTATTTGGGAAGTCCCGAGTTAGGAGTAGCAGTGATCTACAATGGTATCACAAGAGGGCTGAATTCGAACCGGGCCTGAAATCAGAAAACCGAGCGACTAGGTCCTAATAGTGGAGGACACACTAGCTGAATTGCTAGGTTGTCGCACCAGAGAAAAAGGACATATGCTCCGAAAGTATGTACCAAGAGAGGGTGTCCTTTAGGCACCTAAAGCCTAAGCAGACCAACCTTTTCGAGTTACCGGCTGGAAGTAAGAGAGGGACCAATAAAGAATCCGGGTAAAAAGACAGTCTAAATGCGGGTATCAGGTTTGCTGTGAACCTATACAAGAGCGGAAGTAGGTAACGGCAGGGTTTAATGGTTAGCCCTGACCCTGAGTATCTGGATAAAGCCATGGCGCAGGTTACTGAAGTCTAGATAATCATATGATTGGAACATGTGTAATCTAGCAATGCGCTACCGACGGCGTGGCATTTGTACCAAATAGTGGATGTCATGATGTAACAGAAACTTGAAAGGAGCCGAAAAGAGTCGGTGCATACCTAACTCTTGGGCATTCACTACTACTGAAAAATAGCTAGAGAACTGTAACACCGCAGGGGGAGGGACCTGGGACCTCACATATTTACCGAAATAGTTGATGTATAGTGGGGTACTTAGCTATAAATAGGTAGATAAACCAGCCAGGTGAGCCCATTGTAACATAAGTTCAGAGCAGTAGGTATAAGTTAAAAAAAAAAAAAAAAAAAAAAATACAGAATCCACTGATCTTATTCTAGCATCTAACTATCTAAAAAAAAACAAACGATTCTAACCCACCAAGGCAATGAAACTCTTACCGAAAATGAAAAAACTATACTTTTATGTTAGACTACACTGCCTTTAATATACTCTATTTACAAAGGTACCAGAATGGCAGTAGAACATAAAAGGATCCATATTATTTTACTGACAATTACTTTGTAGATACTACATATTACCAACAATTATTTATGACAAATTTATTTTACCAAAGCTTATTTTACAAACAAATAAAATTATTAGAATCAGCTAGAATTAGAGTTAAAGTTAGCATAATTTGTAAAAAACCTTGTTGATAAAATGAGCTTTGGTAAATTGTTGATGAAATATAGTATTTATAAAAATATTGTTGGTGAAATAATATAGAATCTACTAATATTACCCTAGCATTTAACTATCTAAAAAAAAAACAAACAATTCTAACCCGCACTCCAACTTTCTGTACCAGGTTATGCATGTTGCCGATCATCACACAGCAATTGTCTTATTCTAGCTATAGCGAAAATTTTCAAACTTCAAATGAAAGTATCTCAATAAATCTATTTAAAATTGATAGATTTTTTATTTTAATTTAATTCTATGAATCAATAGAATTAAA